TCAACTGGCCTCGGCAATGTGTCAGCATACAGATCGCGGCAGGAATGGTACAAATTAGGAAGCAAGCCTGGGACAATGCTAGCTGCCATATCCAAGCCTCTTGGTGACTCGCATTCTACAAGGATATGATAGATCTATACCTCTCTATACCTTTGTCTGTTTATACATATGTACCTATATATATATATATATATATATATATATATAGATATATAGTTGTATGTTTATACATATGCATATATATATATATATGTGTGTAAGCACGCAGCTGCTTCGTCATGTAAAGAGTAAAGGCTGACAGCAAACAGCCGTCGACCAAACACATCGGCGCGGGCACTGTCCTCTTGTAGCTGTACCAGAAGGTTTTGAAAGCCTTGGCTGCTGTAGGATGTGTATCTAAAGTGGGGTTAAGGGCCGGGCTGGTGGCAAGCATAAGTCCATTAACTTCCTGATGCCGGCAAAAGCTGGTTTGTGAAACGACCTTTCTTTCTGCCATGTACCAATACATGCCGAGGCGCCAACCTCTAAAGACTTACGCGTTGTGAACCCAAAAACTCTTGTGTTCGCACGAAGGTGGGCTAAGACAGCGCATTGGAAGAAGCGGTGCCTAGCAACTCAGGAGCCAAAGTTGGCTGGCCAATACTAGCACCAAGAGACACTGGCAAACAGCTGGAAAACTACAGCAGTGATGGCGCCAAACCGAAGTGGATCCGCAAGGGGGAAGTACTTATTATTGAAACTGAACGTAGAGCACAGCCATACAAAGCCATCGGCCGGAGGGAATTAGCCGCTCCACCAATGGGACCTGTCCAAAGTACAGTAACTGCCTCTCTCGCCAATTTAACTGCAACCTCATCCCGGCTCGAACCTGAACAACTACTGGTGTACTCCCAAATTCGAGCAGGATAATTAAATAAAGCCAAATTCGAGCAGGATAAAGCCAGCCAACTCGTAGGCAGTGGAATCCTCCTGTACAATCACCCCGCTGACCCACCGTGTGCAGGCATGTATGAAACTCGCAGTGGAACGGTCACCGCCACTCCGGATGCTGCTTGGCGGACGCGACCTGAGTTGCTAAGCACAACTTCTTGGAGCGTGGGGTCCATGTTTCAGCTCGGGACAGGCCAGCTACGACTTAGAAAATGCAGGATTCGGGTTGGCCGTTGTGCGTTAAGGGCAAGATGTTACAATCAACGAGCATTGAAACAACTCGCTGCTATTCCCTTGCGACCCGTTGCCCGGCCTACCTTAAGGAAAGAACCCCCGTGGGAAAACGTGGCCCACCCCAATCAAGCCTGTATGCTCTTTGCATTCCTGCCGCCGGGACACATTTTGGAAGCTGCTCACAACACACCAGTTTGAGCCAGCTGAGGCCGAGCATCAGCGAACAGCAGTCACAACGATCGTACACATCTGCACAGGATTTCCTTCTCCGCTCCGGAGCAGCAGCTTCAGGCATTGATTGGAAGTCTGATATGAAACCCATGCAGTCCTACAAAGGGTCACGAACAAACCCCGCAAGTCGGAATAGCTAGTCCTGGGCCGGCTATGGCTGAAGCGCCCGCAGAACAGCTGCCCGACCTCGGCAGGACAGTCGAAAGCAGGCCTCTCCCTTCGCTCTGCTTGCGGACTTATGCAAATCCATAGACTCGTACATCCACCTGTTCAGATGCGCATGCACGGTTGTAGCCCTACGTAGCTGCCTATGTTACGATCCATCCGTGTGGCTGGCTATTTACCCACCTACCGATCGATCACGCGACCTGTCTACTAGTATCTGTTAGCAACCAGTCTATCCGCTATCCGTCTGTCTGGCTGGTTGGCTATGTATCAGTCTTTTCCACGTTTCTGCCTATGTGCACTACCTAGCTCCATACACATGACATCTGCGTGCTGTGCACACATGATCACTTGGCTGCTTGCTTGCTTGCTTGAGTGCTTGCGTGCTCGCTTACGCATGTGCCAATTTGTGTGTACCATTGGCCCTTTGCAGACGTGTGGTGTGTATACATGTTTATATATATATATATATATATATATATATATACATTGTATAATGTGTATACATATATATATATATATATATATATATATTTATTTATACACACCTTTAGAATTATGTGCATAGGTTGGGGGATGGACAAATGTAAACATATTTTGTGTATATTCCTGTGCACTGACAGATACCTGTGGGCACATGATTATAGTCTATGTCGCAACGTGTTCCACTTAACTAAAACTTCGTTGCATTGCAGAGACATGCCTGGATTTTCCTTGGACGACACTGGTTACAGGGACACACATACACACGCATGTGTGCGCACACGTGTATACACAATTCTATCCATGCCTGTATGCTTCTCTCCACTTCTTGTACTAGAATGACAGGCTTCCGCCCTCTCATGCGCACCTTGTGCCGTCACTGTCGGATGCAGGTAGTGTGAGACCGTTGTGTTCCCATTAGAGCAAACTCACTCAGCTCTAAAAAACGAGCACGCGCAGCATGCTGACTGCTGCACAAGTCGCTTGCAGAAGTATACATTCGAAGAACCTGCGCGCAAGCAACTGCACAGCAAGCCAGCACACCTCGACGCCGAAGGATGACCCATGCGAAAGTGCCAAGACTTTGCAACAGTAAGAAACCATACCTGCGGAAGACGACAACTAGCAGAATCGCTTTTCCACTCAGTACTGCAATTAACGGTTTAGTTTAAACTCTCGCATCAAAGCTCGACATCCTCGCAACTCTCATCTCCAGCATTTCCGTCTGAATCTGAGTCGCAGAGGTGTATAGGCAATAGGAGCTTGGAGTTTCAAGGCCGCCAGCGTACCTACATGCTTCGTCTTTATCAGGTGCTGCAGGATTTCTAAGGCAGTCGCGCCTAGCCAAAGGCACCAGCGCGGTGACCAAGAAGAGGGCCCAAAAGAAGGGCTCGAGAACTGCCCGCAGCACTCCCATCAAGTAGACCTGAGTGCTTGTGCTTATGATATGATGATTCATACTTATATGCTGGTCTACTATTACCATGGGCAATCGATTCGCAATGGTGGAATTATGTCTCAGTCTCTTGGTAGATTGTAGTTAGTTTTAATGAAGCCAGTGGCGTAATCTACGTCAAATGCAGAGTTCGGGAGATGTGGGCCTGCACGTGCAGCCTGAGATAGCCTGCGTTGCTTCGCATGAATGAAATCTTCAGCACTTCCTGGCGAATACAGCCTTGCAGAAAACAAAACATGTAGAAACACATGGGCAACTAGAAGTTTGCACCAGATCTCTTTAACAGCTAGTATCTGCATCTCGTTCTTTCCACTCTCCCACGCCCTGTGCTACCTATAGGCGGGTTGTGGCTGACGTCACCAACACGGCTAGTCGAGAAGTGCAACAAAGCTAGGCATGTCTTCATGCATATAGTTATGACACTAAGAGGTCTCCTGCTGAAGGATGATCTGCTCAGACACAGGTCTGAAGTGTTTGAAGAGGTCTCTCTGGCGGAGACTCCGCGTGAGGCTCTGCCGGCATAGAACCAAGATTTTGGGTGCTACGTTGTGGGCGGAGGTCCCTCGAAACTTCTACCGAGTTGAGAAGGAGCTGGATTCGGAGATGCCTGTGCCCGATCGTGCGAGCCGAGAAGACCCAAAGTGATGGGCTTTGTCTTTGTAACTTCCATCTCGCTTCGTGCTCAGTGGCGCAGAATCACCAGTAAGAGGGGGGGCTGTTGCAGCATGATTTATCATGTATATGCCGAGAGTATATCTGCAGGCCAGGGCCGCTGCAGCACACGTGAAGCCCACCGTTGCCGCGCAGTGGAAAACCATCCTGAGGAGCCGATCCACAAAGCATCTGAGCATGAAGAACCTCACACGATCTCACACATGGGTAGTTGTCAAAATTATGGTCCCTTTTGGAGGACCCTAAATATCAATAAGGACCCAAAAAGGGGACCATAATTTTGATAACCACCCACATGAGCATTGCGAAAACAAGAAGTTGAAAGGTCTGTGGAAGTGACAGGGCGGGCTCCAGCCACACAACACCCATCCCTGGTGCCTCTGTCGAAATCGCTTCGCTTCCGCCGAGGAGAAAGCATCCATGTTGGATGCCAGGATGGAGGAGTGCTTGAGGATCTTATAGGTATCAGGCTTTGTGAAGTTTTGAAGGGTTTGAGTGTGGCTCTAGCAGTGCTTCGTACTGGCGGGTTAGAACCCCAAAAGAAAGAAACCAGTACCGTCTTTCGTTTGTGAGTTCGGTGGGCTGAAGCGGCCGGGTCGGAGACACCTGCCCCAAATCAGTGGGCTCTGTGGCTGGCCCCCACCCCTAAATCCCAAGAAGCGGGCTGAATGGGAGCAATGGGCTGATGTGGAGCCTGATATGGGCGCAAGTCAGGGCTGACAACAAATTGTATGTGCTGTAGGCAGAGCGTTCCCCCAGGACAGTAGAGCTACGACTGATGATATTGCTCAGCTTGGCTGCCATGCAGGATCACGATGTCAGGCTTGTCTTGACGACCATTGAACGAATGTTGGGTGCTACTGCTCGACATGGCAAAGTTGAGTAACATGCGACGTGTCACGCACAGTCGCCCGGTATGCGAATTCTCTTGCTGAGCCAACCCGAAACACGGCGAAGAGTGCACACTTCCTGCTTCGGCAATTGTCCATGCTGACATGGCGGAATTTTCCAGATGTGCAGAGCACAACTCAGCATTGTCAAGGCCAGACTCCATGCAGGGTCGTAGCGGTGGCAGTTGCAGCCGTGGTATACAAAGAGTCCCAAGAGCTGCCAAAATTCAGATGCAGCATTCACTGTGTCTTGTATCACGATGTGGCCCATGCCATGCTTGAAATCCTCAGTGGTGCCATGCCGAAGCTCTGAAGTGACACATCCACACCAAGATAACGAACCACAGAGGCAGAGTGCGATTAAGGTCTGAAGTCTGAAGCGATGAGAACCCCAAAAACACTTCAAACCCCCAGGTGCCAGCGCTTACCAAGGCTCCGGCCCCCGCTGCTCCCGTGAAGCAGTTCTGGGATTGGCCTCAATACCAAGACTGGTGGTTTGATTGGCGGTGTGTGTGTGTGTGTCGTAGTCGTCGTCGTTTTCTTGTTGTCTTCCTTCCCCTCACCATCATTATCTTCATCATCGCCTCATTATCGGCACCGTCATAAATGGCGCATGAAGAGTGAAGCCTCTTGGTCTTCGGGGGACGAGGGGAGAGGGAAGGAGAGAGAGAGGGAGAGATAGAGTGGCTAAACAAACAACATCGCGGCGCGCAACAATTGGTCGCCAAAGAGATCGAATGGCAGGTTCATGTGCGCGGAATTCGGCACCGTCATTCTCTTTTCAGCATCAGGCATTCGAGGTTCGGCCCCGGGGCAGCTTTTTGTGAAACCCTCTCGCCGCTCCTTGAGTTTAGCAGCATTTCGATGCCAATTGTAGCAACCCGTATAAGAACCCTTATATGGGAGTTTCCGAAAATTAGGATACCTTATTTAACGGGATTATGATATGAGTCTCTGCTTGGACAACTTTTGCTCTCAAAGACCTCTTGCGCCGAGACAGCTGCTTTGGCTGCCAGCGTCGCCGCTGCCCTTGGATCCCTGGCGGCCCTGTGCAATCCATTCGTCTCCAGCTGAACTCTCTGAGGGTTTGATTCCCGAATATTTCGTACAGTAGAACAGCAGGGGAACCCATGGAGACACAAAGAACTTGTTAGCGTCTTAACCGCCGTTCACAAAAAAGTTCTGTAGCACACAAGCAATCCAGTCGTCCATCAACCCCCGGCAACAAAACGCAATCACTAATTCACCTTGTGGCAGAAGCCGTAGTACATGCTAGAAGGACCAGCTGTCCCAGATCGCTGTCTGTCTGGAGGGAGTAGGGACGAAACCATCTCAACCCAATCTCAAGCGTGAAAAACCTCCCAACATTCGACCTGTTTAAACCCTCGAAGATCTTCAAAGTCTGCAGCACCACGACAAAAGCCTCAAGGAATCCACCTAGATGGAAAAATGAAAACTCTGCCACAAACAAATGCGAGTTAAAGAGGATGTACAAGGCAAAATGCTCAGGGTACAGCGGTGTCCAGCTGCGTGCAGTCATCAACCCAAGAGTCTGAAGCTCAGATTGCGCTCTCCGCGCCTTCACGACCCCGGACGGAGGGTTGGAGGCCCGCCTTCCAAGGTGTTGCTGCGGAGCTTCATTTCTGCTGCTAGCAGGCCTCTCTTCGACTTTGGGCTTCGTCCTCGCAATGGACCTTACGCAACTGCATCTGAACATCGAAACTGCCGACTTATGTATTTACGCACGAAAAACATGAAATTACGTATGGATGTATTGTATGTCTGTCTGTCTGGCCCTTGGTCGGTCTGCAAGTGTTTTGTCTGCCAGTTGTTCTGTATCCCTCTCTCTCTGCCCATGTATGAATATGGTAAGTACAGGTAAACACCGAAGTCATAACAAAAACGGTGGGCGAGCCTTCCCGCAACTAACCGCGCGTTACGACTCATTTTCGGAAGTCATAACAAAATCGCTTTCCACCATGTCACCGCGGGATATTTGAGTAGTCTGCAACGTCGCTTCCGCATGTTCAGCGCTGATATGAAGTCATAACATTTGCTGTTTCCCCCAAGTAACCGCGCCTGACACAAAACATGGTTTCCACACACCGCGTCTCAAACTTTCTACCGAACCGTGGGCTTGGAAGCCACAAGAGGCACTTCCAGTGCTAAAGTTGTACTGCAACCAAGCACAATCCTGCCAGGACGCCAAACGAGGCATTTCCAGTACTAAAGTTGTACTACAACCAAGCACAATCCAGCCCGGACGCCAAACAAGGCATTTCCAGTACTAAAGTTGTACTACAACCAAGCACAATCCAGCCAGGACGCCAAACGACGCATTTCCAGTACTACAGTTGTACTACAACCAAGCACAATCCAGCCCGGACGCCAAACGAGGCATTTCCAGTACTAAAGTTGTACTACAACCAAGCACAATCCAGCCCGGACGCCAAACGAGGCATTTCCAGTACTAAAGTTGTACTACAACCAAGCACAATCCAGCCAGGACGCCAAACGAGGCATTTCCAGTACTAAAGTTGTACTACAACCAAGCACAATCCAGCCCGGACGCCAAACGAGGCATTTCCAGTACTAAAGTTGTACTACAACCAAGCACAATCCAGCCAGGACGCCAAACGAGGCATTTCCAGTACTAAAGTTGTACTACAACCAAGCACAATCCAGCCCGGACGCCAAACGAGGCATTTCCAGTACTAAAGTTGTACTACAACCAAGCACAATCCAGCCCGGACGCCAAACGAGGCATTTCCAGTACTAAAGTTGTACTACTACCAAGCACAATCCAGCCAGGACGCCAAACGAGGCATTTCCAGTACTAAAGTTGTACTACAACCAAGCACAATCCAGCCCGGACGCCAAACGAGGCATTTCCAGTACTAAAGTTGTACTACTACCAAGCACAATCCAGCCCGGACGCCAAACGAGCATTTCCAGTACTAAAGTTGTACTACAACCAAGCACAATCCAGCCCGGACGCCAAACGAGGCATTTCCAGTACTAAAGTTGTACTACAACCAAGCACAATCCAGCCCGGACGCCAAACGAGGCATTTCCAGTACTAAAGTTGTACTACAACCAAGCACAATCCAGCCCGGACGCCAAACGAGGCATTTCCAGTACTAAAGTTGTACTACTACCAAGCACAATCCAGCCCGGACGCCAAACGAGGCATTTCCAGTACTAAAGTTTGGTACTAAAGGGGCTTTGGCAAGGAACCCGTATCACCAACTACACCGCGGAATGTTACGACCTAGCGTTTTCGCTTCCCCGAAGGTATGCTCCGATGTGCTGACATGCGTTACGACTTCGGTAGTTCCCTGTATGTACGTAAGGTGCACTTGCTTAGGCATGCACCCTGCTTGCTGCATAGACAGGTCACGGCCATCTTCTTTCTTAAAAAAGCGCGACCAGGGCTACCAATAACATCCTTATCTCCGGCATCATCTGTGTTTGCATGTGTGTTTGGATAATAGACGCAGCGCAAGCAAATAACCACAAGGGACGGCCGTGATGGAATGTAGACGGACGAGAAAGGTTCTTATATGCTACAGTAATAGTCACGATAACTATATGTTAATATTCGCTCATGCATCTGAATATCAAGGTGCAGATTCGGTGGTGAGAAATCAAGAACAAGGCTATGACAGGCGATGCCGCAATTTATGATAAGACTATGGTGCACACCCATAGGAACATGAAGAAGAAACGCATGTTCGTGGCGGAGAAGATGAAGAGGCTGCTGCAAGTAAGTTGGACGTGGAGGAGGGGTGATGGCAGGAGGAGCAGGAGTCGCTGCTGTTGTTGTGTAGCGTGGTGTCAGCTCATTGTCCTCGTCGCCTTTGCAGCCACTGCTGCGGCGGTCGGAAGTAGAAGCAGAAGCAGCAGGCACATCGTGATGTCGGTATGCGGTGATGCCGATTCTGGATGGACTTGCGGTCAAAGCGTATACACACAAAAGGTCGGTCTCCGCTGTAGGGGCTGGGGTGTAGGTCTCAGCATACCAAGCACACCTAGCGCTGTATGGGGAAACCATCCGGCAGGTCTACTCAACAATCTGCGTACCCCTAGAAACTGGTCGGCTGTTTGAGCTTAGGTGGTCGCTCAACAAGATCATGACACAGTTCGACGCCCGAAGCTGCAAATGAAAATCAAAACATGCCCTAGACGAGGCAGCTGCGCATCCGGCGCGTCGGGCAGCATATGTGACTTCGGCTCCTGCATACGCACCTGGATCACTCGGACATGAGTGCCCGGAGCAGCGCTTCTTTTCAGTCAGTCGAACTCAAGCAGTTGCAATGCTGTCGCAGGGTTTCAGCCTGAAGTGCTGATATTCAGCTTCGCCCCCAAGCCCTCGGACCAGACTGCAACCCAAGACTCTCCAACGATCCCCGTGAATGTCCTGGCCTTCTGCCGCAAGCTTTTCAGACCTGGGAGCAGCGTCCCTTCGGTCGACCTGCGCTCGAGGAAAACCCCTGCATGGTACCAACGACAACATTAGCTGGGGTGAAAAGTGCGCATGATGGTCTGCGAAAGCGTGGCACGCACCTAACCGGAGACCAACCACTACAACATCCATAAGACTTTGAGTCATAAACATGACACCGCAAAGCTTAAAGCCACGCAAACCCCACTGAGCGCTAATTAAACCCTTCTTCATTCGAGCCCCTTCAATGGGCCGAGCAATGCAAACACTTCCGTACGTTGTGATGTAGGTTATACAATTAATATGCATGAGCCTGTAGCGAAACGAGGAACACTTGTTACGGTTGTTCCGCAGCCACATCTGCCCATGCAGGACACGGTCAAGCACTTCCTGCGGCAATACAACCCTCACCACAACCTCGTGCCAATTCTGCGTACCAGGAACACTCCGGAGCTCTACTCAAAAAGAGTTGGAGCGCAGGCACTAAAGCCCCAGTCTCTGCACAAAAATATTCCCAGTCCAAGTCCCCCTGCGACAGACGGTCAAGAGCCTGCATCTGTTCTTGTAGGGTTCGAACTTGGGAGGGACATGACGTGTTGCGGGGGGCAGAATGTTCACCGTTGCCCTGCTGCCAGGGTCTGGCGTGCAGGGCATTTCAGTTGGAGTTAAGATAGTATAAGCCATGGGTACAATAGGTAGTGGTTCTGCGGTCCCTTCAACGGAGTTACGTTTGGAGGGCTCAGAGGCCGGATTGTCGATGACAGCAGCTCTGCGCCTTCAGTACGCATAGCATGAGGCTTTGTCAGCCGAATGTCACAAAACGACCATATCCGCAACTTCCACTTTGAAGCATGCTAGGCATAAGATTTTCAAGGGCTCAGCAAGACCTTCCCGTGTGACATCGCAATGGTACGGGTCCACGAATGAACTAAAAATCAGCAACGCCTCAAAGTTCATAGCAGCAACCTCAGCCGAAAGTCCGTAGGGGAAGCCCCAGTACAAGCGCCAGAAATCGAAGCCAGGAGACTGGAGAGACGCGGCTCGTCTGGAATCCCCGCGGCTCGAATTCCTTCCATGCAGGAGATGGTGACTGCGGGCTTTCTGGGCTTCGGTCGGGTATGACTGAACTGTGTGGCGGGCTGCCGAAACAAGCGTCAATACGCATCCGATTGGGGAGTGGCCAGCTTCTGTCAGCCAAGCCAAAGCGCAATGAGGTCACAGCTAAACCCTATCCCTCAGCACCTGGAGCCGGATTCGTATGCACTTCCTAAACCCTACAAGCCTCCCATGAAGCCATGAGTCCTCAACTCCGGGCCCATAACCCTGAACCCGTCTCCTTGGGCAGCGGGGCTCGAAGATGCTTCTCGGCCAGTTCTTCCCGGCGGCGCCTCTGGGGACTCTTTGGCAACGTTGCGGGTGCAGGCAGGGTGGCTTCAGGGTGCAACGTATCAAAATCATGGCCTATACATTCGTGAAACTTTTTGCCTCCTAAGACAAAAATGCTTCATCGCTCACATTACCGTATCTGTTAAAAACTTCTGTTAGTATGAACTCTCTAGTCTGACTTATCAACCCTGCCATGCGGTCTACATTTGCGAAATAGCTTAGGGGGTTCGGTGCAATGATACGGGGTATAGCCAGGCCAACTAGCGCTGAAGAATCTGCCACAAAGCACAATAATAAGTGGCCGCCTCTCGAGCGCTTCCGCTTCGCGACGCTCGCGCTCACCTCATCAATTTTGGAGCAAATCTCTAGCTGGCTGCATGGGCCTCGAAGGTTCTAGACACGGATTCGGATACAGGGTGCGGGATACCTCGTTTGGATCATTGGGTTGTCCTATACTGTCGGCAGCTTTCAAGATGCTGAGGAGGCAACGTCGCGCAGCAACCGTGCCTCGAATGGGCCGGCATGTCTTGTTGCAGTGGCAGATCAGACTGAGTGGTGCGACCACCAAATTGGCTTAGGGCAAGGCTGTCTCTGCCGCTTCTCACCTGCAGAACTTCAATCACACCAGGCTCTGCGTAGCCGCGTACACAAGATTCTTCGAGACATGCTCCTGTATGGCTAGGAAGCACTGGTGCTCGACTGCATGTCGTCTTGCATGGCTATTCGCGGAGGGGAGGTGGATTTCTGGCCAGAGGTAAGAAGAATAGTCTAGGTCTCTTCATTCCTAGAGCAGACACTGGTGGCTCGAACTGAGGGCCACGACACTCTGGGAAAAGCTTCGTTTGTACTCCTGCGCATCAGAAAGTGAAATTCGAGCGAGATAACCACCTCTTTCGAAAGATGGGAGCAAATACGCTGTTAGTCACCCGCAAGATCCCGCAAGAAACAAAGGGGCCAGTCATGGCCAGTCCAAGGTTTCTTTCTTCAATTTATGATGCGAGATGTCGTGCTGTCCAACACGGTGCCTAAGGCTTCTGCAGGTCTATGCCTGTACAACAAGAGAGCCGGAATGTGTGACGTCATGTCATGTCTGCTCGACCGCCAATATCTGCAAAGCTTCGTCGATGCAAAGACTCAGCTGTGATAGGTCGACACCAGCAGATTTAAAGTCAGCAAGTGCAGCCCTGCCTTCCTGCAAGCGTGCAGCTGGTCGTGAAATCAAATACTCGGCAAACTGCCTGGCCGTTCTTATTCCCGTGCTGGTCACCTCATCCTTAGCAATCGCAAGCACACTTGTCAAATAGCTCTCTGCGAAGAGCTTGTTAGGTTGGATGCCACGTAAGATCATATCGTCGCGTGCTTCGAGGAGGCTTCTGAGCGGTGCATTTCCATACGATCCAACGAGGCACGTAAATGTCACAAGGTCCGGCTCCAGCCCGCTGTCCAGCAGCAGACGGTAGAGAAATGTCGCAGCGTTGTGGTTGCGACCCTCCGCATTCCGGCAAGCTCGGATGGCGCATGTTACATGCAACGCGTCCATCTCGACTGCATAGGATCTCAACTCATCTAGAACGCTCGCAGCTGTTTCAACGTCCCCTCGGTCAGCCGCGGCTTCAATGCGGGCGCATGCCATTACCTCATCTATATTCATCGACTGCTTGGCCTCTGCCCAAATTTGCTGCACAGCTTGGTCTTGCCCTAGACGCGAATAAATTTTCAAGGCAGCTGTGATGGTTGGGGATGTTTTTGGAATGTTTAAAGCACATAGCTTCTGGTAAACACGTTCTCCTTCTTGAACCTGACCACAATTTAATGCATTGTGCATGACGGCATTGAAAATCTGGACCTCGGCACCCTCATATCCGCCGAAAAGCTTGCGCACTTCAAACCAATCTCCGTTGCGTCCTGCTTCGGTAATCCGGGTGAGCAGCTTCTTCCCGTCCTCGCTCAAGTCTGTCAGAGCGTTTAGCCTGTCTGCTTTCACGCTCTTGGCTATGCCCTCTTTCTCGCGAATTTGCCGCGACGGCGCCTGCCTCGGTGTCGCAAAATTGAACGGTGCCCGGCAAGTGAGAAAGGCCACCAGCAGCAAGAGCCAAATCCTGAACGCCGTGCACAAGTGAGGGGCATTCATCGCTCGCTTGTTCCGCCGGCAGTTCTTTGCTGCCAACAAGGCGAAGGGTTCAGCCATGGATGGTACGTATGGTACCTATGGGCCGTCGAGCACCGCGGCAATCTCTCCCTCGCTTACCTTAGCCAGAAGCTGAAGTCAGAACTGCTACTGCGATGAAATTAGATGCCATGCCAATCTGCGAAATGTGCTTTCTTTGACCTGGCGACGTCAACGACAGGCATGAGCATCCGTCGAAGGCGGTTTGCGAATTATTCGTTGGCCCCTCCATACTTGAAATACTGCCCTTGGGTCTGGGGCTGTACACAACCTACGGTATCGTGCGAACGCTGTGCAAGCGTCTGCCGCCAGTAACCGAAGCTCACGAGACATGCTGAACACTGCAGCCTGGACCCAAAATCTCGAAACTTCGAATCTCAAGGCTTGCATGCCCTGAGAGCTATGCAGCCTATACAGCTGTGGCCCTGCAGCCCACACCGGCAGTCCTTTGGAGTTTCTAACGGCCTAGGCATGCTGGAGCCAGCAGTTCATGTTTCTCGGAAATTAGCATTTGCTAAAGCTGGTCGCGCATAACAGAATAAGATAATACCGATGATATCAGTATTAGTGGTGATAGCAGCCCAAAGCAGAAACAGTGGCAGTAGCGGTGGTAAAAGTAGGAGTGAGAAGTAGTGGCAGTAGTCGTCGTCGTAGTAGTAGTAGTAGCAGTAGCAGTAGCAATGGCAGTAGCCGTAGCCGTAGCAGTAGGAGTAGTAGTAGTAGTAGTAGTAGTAGTAGTAGTAGTAGTAGTAGTAGTAGTAGTAGTAGTGGTAGTAGTAGTGGTAGTAGTGGTAGTAGTGGTAGTAGTGGTAGTAGTGGTAGTAGTAGTAGTCGTCGTAGTAGTAGTAGTAGTAGTAGGTTGATGTCGTCGTAGTAGTAGTAGTAGTAGTAGTAGTAGTAGTAGTAGTAGTAGTAGTAGTAGTAGTAGTAGTAGTAGAGTAGCACTAGCACTAGCACTAGCAGCAGCAGCACTAGCAGCAGCAGTACTAGCAGCAGCAGCAGCAGCAGCAGCAGCAGCAGCAGTAGTCGCAGTCGCAGTAGCAGCAATAGCAGCATTAGCAGTAGCGGTAGCATCAGCAGCAGCAATCGTACGTTGCGGTACGACTGGAATATTGATGATGTTATCGTTGCGGCTGGTGATGCTGTTGTTGCTGCTGCTGTTGCTGTTTGTTGCTGCTGCTGCGGCTGCTGCTGCTGTTATTGCTTTGTCTTGTACGTTGCTGTGGTTTGCTGCAGTTGTGGTTCATTTTGCTGTCACTATCGCTTTGCTGTTGCTGCGGCTGTGGGTGTTCGTGTTGGGGTTGATGTCGCAGCTGCTGCTACAGCTGTTGTTCCCCACATTCCCTCCAGCCCTCGCGCAGACCCGCCTTGTGCTTAGAACGTGCCTCTGGGTCACCGGCAGAGCGGCAGAGCTCGCAGCAGCGGCTGCGTTGAGAGCAAAGGGGTCCTGGATGGATTGGGGCAGCTGCTTGGGCAAGAGATTCCACGCCGACATTAGGTGCTGAGGGTAGATTAGACGCAAAGATACGACGGCAAATAAGTGAGCAGGAGGAGGACAACGATTGTTGGAGTCAGGCAATCAAGCAGATGGCTCGGTCGGTACATAATGGCATTTCCAAATGATGGGGTGGTTCCAGAAGTCCGGGGCGGGTGCAGCACTTGGCTGAAACCCGACATGAGCAGCGTCACGAGTCTGACATCAAATGGCTGCATGCGCCACCAAAGCGGTGCGAGTCGTGACGCACGAAATGAAGGAAAAAACACAATTCAAGACATCCAAATGCCACAGCTACATCATTACCAACACCCCAATTTCACAAGCGGAGCTGAAAGATGGATTGCAGATAACAGCCGCAGCGGCAGCTGCCTTCAGCGCTGCTTGGTTGTGCAACTGGCCAGAACTGGTTCCCAGAGTCACTATTCGAATACTACTGCACAAGCTGGGCATGTGGAGTCCAAACCATGTGTGGCTCCGAATATCGGGGCACTCAGAAGCGGAATGAGCGTCTGCTCTAGGCATCTCCTAACAGCACTTCGGTCCTCTTCGTCAAGCTTGGAGAACAGCCTCGCAATTCTCAACCCGCAGAAGCCCGTAGCTGATTCGTGCTTTCTCGAAATCTACGACTCTCCCAGCCACAGCGATTCTCCTCATTGGGCTCCTCATTCGGCTTGTTCATCAGCTTCGGGGGATTGAAGGCTGAAAAAGTGTGTCCAGTAGATTCAGCAAACTAGGACAATAAAGTACAACCTCGATCCTTCGGCTCTCGTTGCACTCTCGCTCTGCTATGGTGTCACGCAGCTGCAGAGCTATTCTCGATAGCCTACAGCTTCAAGCTTGAGGGCTTCATCACACCAGACTGGCTGGTCCATGCCACAAAGTAACGACCTCGCTGCTTGGGCACTGCGTCACTCCGTAATTGTTGATTGTACTTCTAAGGCTTCGGCTCTTGTGGCGTATTTCCAGGTTCCCATCCACCTCAGAAGCGTAAACCAACTACAGTAACTACAGGCGAACTTCTTCAACTTCTTCCGAATGGCGACATGTTCCGATATACCCATTGCTGTTGTGGCATGACATGGTCTCGTCTACCAAGCCTCATGAACGAAACCTTGCTGCCTGAGGTCATGAACCGAAACAAGGAGCATGACCTTCTTCTGAAGACTCGCGCTCCAAGGCGGAGGCCGTCCACATAAAGGTCTTCGAGCTGCCGGACAATCAGGTCCTTCAAGCAGGACCGGTGCGGAGGAGCAGCCAGAAATCCATCGCAGACCTCCATCACCCCGCTACATCTTAATCTAGTTAGTGCCTCTGAGCTCTCGCGAAGAAGCCAGCAAACAAGCCCTCGCTAAATCGCGACATGGCACCTGTAATCCAGGACCGCAACTTCCACATAACTTGGATCATCGGCTTTGGGCGACCAAGGTCCTCTGCTTCCAGGGCCAGCTCCTCGGGCAACACCGACGACTGACTTCAAACACTGAGACACTCGTGGAGATGAAATCGACGCCGAGTCACTGTGACCCAGTGTCTGTGGTTCCCAAAGGCCGATGTGGTGTTTTGGGGTCGCATGGAAAAGAACAGCTTGAGCATGTTTGGCAAAGCCTTCGGATGTATGCGGAAAATTCGTTCACGAATCGATGACGTTGTGTGTCATTCTGACCTCAAGCTCAATGCAACCTACAACTCGCACACAAAGCCCCACCAACCTGATGAGGTGCCCGATAAGCAGTCCGCGCAACAGCACAAACCACGAAAAAGCAAGGGAAGCACAATATCTAAACTCCGGAACACACAAGTGTCTTGTTTGCACATAGGTCTACAGACCCAAATCCCGGAACGCCTCGTACCGGTCCACACTAACTTCATCTGCCCGCTGGGCGAGCTGTTCAAGCCTGAAGCCAAAAGCTTCTGGGGTTCAGTGTTTCGGATTCTCGGGGTGTAGTTGTTGCCTGATCCTGCAAATTGTCGGGTAGTGATTAAAGTTGCTTGTGCTACCGATGTCTTATCTGTTCATGTACCAATATCTTGGTGTTCGGCTAGCGCTGGCGCAACGTAGCTTACTGTCAGATCCAGTATGATCCAGCCTGTACTGATTCTGTCGAAAGGGGTTGACTTCTGGAGCTTGGGTTTCGCCATTCGTGTGCGACACGAGCTTTTTCATATAGATCGCAACGGGAACACGTTGCCAAAACCTCGCCAGAAATCGCAAATCAGGATTCCGCACCCTTTGCATCCCCGCGAGGCGTCTGCCTCTCTGCCACCCCCGGAGCCAGCTGTGAGCGGAGTGCTTCACTCGTCCAACCCTGCATGTTGTCTCGGTTTGAGGCTTGAGGAGCGTTAGTCACATATTAGTTGGTTTACCTACTTGCGGAGGTGGAAAAGTACGCTCTGAAAGGGTTCACTGTACTGCTCAATAATCATAAGAACGGTGGCGACCGACACCTCGCAGCTTTCTGTCAGGTCTTCGTGGCTTCCGCACTCACTCTCGGGCAAGCGTGCTTTCGTGGTTCATTCGCTGGGGTCCACAGATTGAATTGCAGCCAGGCTGAGAGGGGCTATATGGTGATAAGGATTTCTAGACAACTGATTCCTTAAGAGCCTGAAGAGTTTCTGTCGAAGTTAGGGCCAGCAGTTACGGGTTCTGACGGGGTCGGAGTGTAAAGTTCGGGCTCTGGGCTGGCTTGCCGGGGATTCAAGCCGACGCTTCAACCACCGCCTGTCGCGTGCGGTCTCAACTTCGCCAAGCCATGAGCCCCGATAACCCTACTCCCGTAATTCCAACTGCGGACCTGTACCCTCCGAGAATCGCATTACATTCAACATGCTGCTTAAAGACCACGTCAACAAGTGTGATCTTAAGACAATTCAGCCCATAAACCTGAAAGCCGCACCTTCGTTGCGAGCCCTGGATCGCGCTCCACGCCGATCCTCGCGGAAGCTTGGGATTGAACGACTTCAACGACTCCGCGCGGACCAAGAATCCCAGACTCAGAGGATGCCTCCTGCACCGGAACGTCGAACAAGACATGACTGTGACAACTCTGCTACGGAACGGAGAAGTAAGGCTGTGTAAAGGCCTCCAGCAATGCAGGGTCGATGAATGCACGGCACAAAACTGCTATGGGAAGACTGCGCGGCTTCAGTACTGCATTTAGGATTTGGGGCGAGCCGTCGTCTTCGCTCTACTACCACGGTGCTTCAGGCCGAAACACAGGGAGCTGACGTTACGTACAAATCATGCGGACACGTGATTGTAGAGCGACAGGATAGAAAACAAAATCTGATTCAATATCCACTCCTCGTCTTGCACCGTCCGGTGAAACCAATACTTTAGAAATGCCACCGAACACCTATAGATCAAAACGACTTAGGTCTGTCCCAACGTTCACGGGACATTTCTTGTCTCAGGCTGCTTAAGGAAAGCGCGCGCCAAAATGATCAAAGTTGCAGTTGCTGCTGCTCTAAGCTTTCAAAAGCCGGACAAGCAACCATGACCGGACCCCCAAACGCAGTGCTGGGACTCCTTTTAAAGCAGGCCTCCTTGTCCAGCAGCCCGGTTACAGCAAGAGTCCCCCTTGCCCCCGCTTCAAATCAATCAGAGGAGACGAGCTGACACTCACGACGACACTATCTGATACGACACTACCTTACTGTTCTGACTGATTGCAAGACTGTGAAAATCCGTGAGCTCGCTCCAAAACGAATCCAAAACCAACTGTTCAAGATATAGCTCGACACTGATACCAGAGAACTCAAGTGCTAGGACCCTGAACTCTGAACCCCCAAACTCCAAATTCCCGAAGGCCTTACAACCAGCTGAAGCTCCGAATGCTAAACTTTGAATTCCGCAACCCCTTAACTCTACACCGCCAAGCACCTGAAATGTTAAACGTGTATACAGGACGCCTGCAATCGCAACGCCAGCATTAAAACCCCCCGAAAAAAGCCAACAAAAACAAATATAACTTTAACCCTGTCAACACCTGAAGTTACATTACTATCTCAAATTCTACGACATAGGTAATAAAAACACAGATCTATGACACAAAAACCCAGGCCTCTGGTTCTGCGCGGCTTCTATCAGGCGCTCGTTCCGCATGATCAGCACGCTGCCCAGCTGCTCCTCCTCTGAAAACTTGTAACTATAATACTAATCACAAAAACTATAACTAGAACGAATATAATCAGCAAAAAATGGAAAACATACTAAGATTACTACTACTATTATTGTTTTTTAATAGTTTTTTGTCACCCACCTAGTAGTAGTAGTAGTAGTAGTAGTAGTAGTAGTAGTAGCAGTAGTAGTAGCAGTAGTAGTAGTAGCAGTAGTAGCAGTAGTAGCAGTAGTAGCAGTAGTAGCAGTAGCAGTAGTAGTAGTAGTAGTAGTAGTAGTAGTAGTAGTAGTAGTAGTAGTAGTAGTAGTAGTAGTAACAATAATAGTAACAGTAACAGTTTACCCATAACAATAGCAATTAAACATGATAATGACAGTCTTCAGACTCAGTAGGAGACTGGGTGCTCAGGAATTGGGGAGCTTCAGCAACAAAGAAAGATTTTTGAACCCGGGTTGCACCAGGTTTTAACTTTTGGGAAGTGTGGCTGTTGTTGACCCACTCCCGGCCGTAGATCGTTAAGTGCGAGCGAATCAAGAGGGTGTCCAACAGCGATCTTGTGCTGAGGAATTTTTGCGTGAGTCGGCTTCAAGGCGGCTGCTGCCGCAACTTGGTCCGGTGTCAAAGAACCATTTCGGGTTGGGAGCTTAGCCTTCCCCAGCCAGGGCGTGCTCTTTTCAGGGTTTTGAATCCCTCCTACCTAGCAAGGACGAAGCCCGCATTGCAGGGTTCAGGGTCTGGGGTTTGTTCTTCCCGGCCGCGCATCTGCCTGACGGGGTCCGCAAATACAGCCGAAGGGGTTGGAGGCTTGGAAACGGGTTGTGCAAGGCGCACCGTGATGTTCATCCCCATCATGTGTCCGAGTTCTCATGTTCAAACCTTGAGGACGCACGTGCCTCACCGCGAACAGACACCGACACAGAGATAAGCGAACAGAGAGAGAAACCAGCGCACATACACACAAACAAACTGCCATGCGAGTGAAGAACAACAGCTGCTTGGGTCCCCGGGCGCTCATAGCTTCCTGCCCGAAGCTCAAAGGTCCACGCTCTCCGTCCTGGTCGCGAGATCGGGTTCAGGGGGGCCAAGACTGGACTGACTCTGCAGTATGATGCAAACCACTTCTGCCTTCTGCTGCTCCCTCTCACGACGCTCGCGCCGCAAGTAAGCTCCCATGGACCTGAAGGCGGACAGACACATACACACACACAGAGACACACACTCTCTGACATATCCACGTTCATATATGTTTCGTCTACATGCATACATATACATACACATACACTCATACATATCCATGCATACATATCCATCCATCCATCCATGCATGCATGCATAACATTCATACATGATGTCCTTAGTTGTTTATATGTTGATCGTCAGGTTTTCCAGGAAGCTTGATAACAATAAGACCAAGAACAATCATTGTACAGAAAGTACGAATGGGAAGGACGTACAGTTACAAGAAAGCGAAATCTCGCAGTACACAAACATAAACCAACACAACGACAACATTAGCTCCAACATAGCAAAACAGTTATGAAAGGATAACACTGGCAATATTGAACAACAATGGCAACACCAGTAAGAATGATAATTCATACCAGTATCATATTATGAAACGAAATCTAATGCTTCCGGTAGCAGTAGTAGTGGTAGTAATAGTCGTAGTAGCAGTCGTAGTACTTGTAGGAGTAGTAGTACGAATAACAACAGTTATTATTACCAACAGTGCCCTTTGAAATGATGACATCGTGAGTGATTAGAACCCTTGTTCAGAAAAGGGTTGATTCATTAATCAGGGTCTGCATGTTCATCAAAAGCGCACTTAGCACGGTGCTCACGCTGATTCAGCTGCGGCGTGGCCAGCCTCGTAGCTGCAGCACGTTAAGATCGAAAGTGCTGGGCTGCAAACTCAAGCGTTTGAGACTGTGTGTCTTCACTTACCTATTGTTTTAAACTTGCCTGGGATTGTGTTAGGGAGATTCGGTGGAAAGGGGCGCGAAGGGCAGAATGCGAGGAGCGGCCAGCTGTGATCATATGGCATCTGCTGACATCTGCATGTTTTGCAGCATCTGCAGAGTCCAAACTGTATGTTGCACATCCATGATACTTCCACATCAATCTTCTAGTTTTCCGGACCCCTTTGCTTCCCTGCTATACTTATCGCTGTCTAGACCGGAGGCTGTTGTCCTGGGAGTCGACTGACACACTTACATTAACTGTCCTGGCATAGTCGTCATCGGCAGGCCGAGTGCTTGCATACATACGTTTGTTTCCCACCTGGTACTCAATTCGAAGGACTAGCACCTGGCCGGAAACTCGCCACGAGAGGATGCTCTGGGAGACCGGCACTGTGGGGGCGAAGAGCCTTTTTCCTCAGTTCTTTTGCAATTATTACATCAGCAGGGCAAGACCATAGTCATAACGCATCATCCGGAAAAGTCGACATTGTTCACCACCGAACTAGCACGTACCCCTGACCCTATGCTACACAAAAGCCTGCGGATGAACCTTCGAGTTGTGACACTCTGTGAACAGCTGCAATCGTTCCTTGTCCCAGGCAGAACACGAAACAAACCACCCGAAACGCATCAGTTCTGAAGAAATAAGCTCCGATATTGCACCATAGCATGAACACCAACAGTAGCTCCAGGGCTCGTAGGTTGGTCCAGGTCTGTGGCGTCCAAGGGAGCCCGGTGACCTCCAGGCAAAACTGGTGCTAGCCTTGTCAGTCCTGCAGCGCACTTTTACATTGTGCAAACCGTGCCTAAACGAATATCTACAACCCCCGGCCTCATGAGCAACTCCTTCTCATCGAAAGTAGACAACTACTGTACAAGGTGAGGTGACTGCAAGGCAAGGGAACTGCTTGCCGACTCCACACCCAGAACGAAGAATGGCTTCTCCCTATAGCTGATTCCAGGAACAGTAGATTTCAGATTCAGGTACCTCTCGCTGGACGATCTGGGTCAATTTGGAGATCATCTCCTGCGCATGCACATACGTCTATAGGCAGGACTACGATATTCACGACCGCATTCACTACGTTACCGACGTGGCTACCCTCATCAGCGTAATGACTGCTCATACTGTCAGCCCGGAAACCTTGTGCCGACCGCACCATCCCGGATGAGCCTGGCTGTACTGCGCAAGAAGCCTCTGTTCGGGTGGAAAGGCTTCGACCTCGGATGCATCTGGACGATACATGACGCTTCAGCTTAAGGAGATATCCGAACTAATTCGCCAACAACACATGCCCTGCTTAGCATATGAACTTTCATTGCGGTTCCTAGCCGGGGGATCCGCGATCAGCGCGTCCCTCTGGCAATGACTGAGGTCAGGACGATCATCCGGTAGATGGCATGAACCATGACCTCAACAGCTACTCTAGTGAGCACCGTAATCTGGTGAAGCGCACGTGCTACTACTGTACTTGACATGCTCGCTGGCTACCAGCTATCACGGCAAATACCACAGGAACCAATCTCATGGCGACGAAATGGAATGCATGCGTACTGTAGCAAGTGAAGCAGCGCCGACAGGAATAACTGCACAATGACTGCTGGAGCCATTGCTACGACAGCAATTGCGACATCACTACCGGCAGCAACAGCAAGACATCAACAAAAGTAACAGCCTACACTTCCCACCTCATCTCGGTCCTAGATGCAAGAACCGAATCCAAACCAAGAACTCTACCAGAGTCCTCCGGGACTCCGAGGTCGCAACTGCCGGAATGGCCTCCTGGAGCCAGTCCTCCATGGCTTTGCTGGGGCCCTAAGGGCTTTAGACAAGTGTTTCTATATGTTTTATACGTTTTTATAGGGTAGATGGTCCCAGAGGTAGGGATAGTATGTACGGCCTTAATTAAGTGGCTTCGACGTTGAGTGTCAAAGCTACTTGCATCAAGCATGGTTGATTTAATCTGATGGTTTGAGTCTTTGCCACCCCATACTGCACAACCGGCACTTTCATGTGTACACCCCGCCTCCCCCTCGCACGTCCCTTTCTGCTGAGGTCACGGGTGTTTGCTGCATATATACATAAGTTGGTGTTGCACCCCTGGCATGCGCAATATGGCTTGACTTTTGACAAGCTGAAGGCCTTGTGTGGCTGGATTGACGGAGGCTGGCCACATGCTCTGACACTCGAACTCGCCCAATGAGGCTCTTGGTTCGTATAGCTGGTCGGCAGAGAATCATTAACCGGGGTTTCAAGCTAGGGGCTTGCGAAGGAGGGACATGCTCGGAGCGCTAAACGCGTCTGAGCCATTCAGAATGACTTGCTGGGAGAAGCCATCCTATAAGGGCCTGTTGAACCTAAGTGTTTGGAGTGACCTAGCGCAAACAGGACAGGAGCCCAGCTCCAAAGCGATCCAACATCTCCCCAAGCCTCAGCCCTTTAGCTCGTGCCTTGTTGCGCCTGTTCCCCTCGCAGATGCCTCAAGTCAAGGAGCTCCGATTGCTCCACAGGACGTCAAGAAAGCATCAACTGATGACGAAAGTGCAAGCAAAGACCAGGGAATCCGGCCTCCCTCGAATCAGCTGCACCCACCCGAAAGCTCGGCCAAGCTGCGATCAACCTCCAAGGTGAGGTCGAACCAGCTCTTGGCCAACTGGGACCTAGGCAGGTGGGTCAGGGCGAAGGGCGAACACAAGAAGATGGGAAGCAGTGCTCAACCGGATCACGGAGAGGACGGGGCGAGATCAGTACATACGATACACCTTGTTTAGGTGACGAAGTCCGTCCAGAGGATTGTCTGGCTGTCTCTGTCTCCACCAAGTGGTTACGAATGCAGAATGTGTTGGGAAGACAGCTGCGGTTGAGGCACTCGTGCTTGCTCTTTGATGCGCCTCGCTACTCTGAGCCCTCTGTGGCCAGATCGGCCAGCATCGTGCACCGACCGTCTTATATGCCCACACATGCGGATCACCGGCCTTTGACTGTAAAGCTCTACTGATTCCCAAACAACCATGTACTTCCTTCTCAAACTTTGATCCCGACTTAAAGACTCTGAAGCCAGAACGTCGAATCCAGCAGAAAAGGAGCCAAGAAAGGATAAACAGGCAAACGTCGCGAAAAAGTCATTGACCTGTAGCTAGGACACACAGACGTCACCTTTCGCGTTATCCTCAAAACTGCAAGCCGCGCAGACTTTTTGGTTTCAGGGGCCAGGGCTAAGCCATGTTCGAACAAGCCAAGTATGTAGGCATTGGCTCACGCGAAGCACACTTCCGGCTGCTTCATTCCGTCGCCAGAAACCAATGGTAGGCCGCACCCCTTGTAGCGAAAAGCTGCAGGCTGTAGCCTCGTCAAATCTCAGGTGATATTCCAGCAGGCTTGCTCTGCATGTCAGGATACTGTGTTGACTTCAACGGTTTCTCCTTGTTCAAGCTGGCGTCCGAGCGAAGGTAGTCGGCCCGGAAGGATTTGGAGGTAGTCCGGACCATCCCCCACTCTTTGACCCCTGGATCTCCGTGACAGTAGACGGGCTCCGGTTATGGAAAGCACCTGCCCTTCCTCAAGCAGAGGCTCGCCATCGCAGCATGAGGTGGTGACCAGGAACGCTCGCACTGCATCAGCTCGAAGGTGCGAAGCTCCCCTCCAGGCTCAGCTGCCTCCGTCGCTCATACAAGGCAATGACAACCTTGGGCGAGCAATCAAGGGTGTAACTCCAAGACAAGCAATTCCTGCAAAAGCTGTTTGGGACTTGGTTTCTGGATTTTGGTTCCTTTTACCAGTAGCAAGATGAAGATGTGATGCTAGCAGGTTCCAGACTACAGATTGCATGCGTGTCTTGTTAGTGCATCGAACGTTCTGTGGCTCTTAATGCTGAACGTCTTTGGTTCAGAGGGAACTGGCCAAACCAACAGCAGCCATTCGGGTTCCAAGAAGAAGAGTGATGAAAGCTTGGCGGAACTGGAGACTTGTTTCTACACATCGCCAGGGTGTCAGGCAGAGGTTCAGGACGCGAGGGTGCCTCGTTTCAGGGGTAATTACAGTGCAAACCCTCAGAAACACCACCAGACCCAGAAAGTCCCATGAAAGCTCAAGACCATGGAGACGACCTGCTTGATACCGACGACGAAGGAAATCCAGCGAGCAGAAGATTGCGACGTGATCTCTCAAGGCTACGCGGTGTCTCGGCGAGAAGCCAACCCCCTCATTTCACGCGAAAGATCAAGAAAGCATGCCCACAAATCCACACGAGGCCAAGAAGCTGCGTGCGCCAAGTTCAGGGACGGGGTATGGCTCCTCAGTGGTCCGGCAGAAAAGGGTCAAACGGTGAGCCTCTAAATTGTTGTTCGGTTTGCTTGCGATTGACCGTGACTTGTGAATTATGTAGGTCCGGGTGAAACCTGCAGACCCTAAACCAAACAGTGCGGGTTTACGCAAGCCAGCAGCTCGAAGCACTGCGTGCACTGACCAAAGCTGCAGCTTCCGTTCTCAGACAGCCTTTGGCACCTCCTGCTATCAGCCTGTGGGGCCACAAAACTTATTATATCGGAAACCCTACAAACCGTAGAAGCCGTAAAACACTAAAAGCACCACTGAACTCCCCAGGCAGCCTAGTTGCCTACATAGTGGGCTGTCTTAATACCTAATGACAGTACCAATAGTAGGAATACGTCTGATCATAGTGCAGTGGGCTGTGCCATGATTGTACAGTGACGTATGCAACCTGCTAATGAGTTGGCTTTAGGGCTGCTCATGCATCATTTGAGATTTCTTCGTCGGCACAGACACATGTAGGAACCACGCCGGCCAGTCAAGGCCCTCCTCACCGAACCTGAAGACCCCCCAAAGTCGCACATCATTGTAATTAAACCACAACAGTGTCCCCCTGAGCCTAAATGGGTATTAATCGCAAAGGCGCTCTTGTCCCAGCTCCAACCGTTCAGATTTGGTGCCGGCCATATCAAAGTTCAGGGCAGGGATGTGGCACTGCTGGTCCTTACAACTGCTCGTTTTGTGCTTGAAAAGTGTGTAACTGCTGCGGTCGGATTCAGGATTTGGGTGCCCTCCCTGGGCAGGCTAGGGGCCTCGAGGTTTGCGAGTTCGGATTTCGCAGGCTCGAGGATAAAGCAGTCCCTCGATCGAATTCCTACAAGGTTACTATTCCAGCTCCATGCAGCGGAACACGTAAGAGAAGAGAAACAAGGTTCTGTGGGAGTTTGGGTTGTGAGTGCCGGGCTCATACTTTCGGTCTACGGCAAAATCCCGAAAATCTGCAGTGGAGTTGAAGTTGTGGTTTTGGGCTCTGCTTCGAAACAGCAGGTCCAGTACCGGCGCCAAACACTGCAGAGTCCACTGCATAGTGTGCCCAGGCATGAAATAATGGCCAACACCCGGGGCGACCTGGGCAAACCTTTGCTGGTTGCTCAAGCTCCCGACTTCAAGGTAGTTCACAAATTCTTCAGATGCAGAACAGTGCACTCCTGTTCTGGCAGGCCACACACATGTCCAGAATCTCCGGCGACAGCGACTGAGCCTGCTGACGCAAGAAGTTCTTCGTCGCGTCGGTAAGCTGAGAAAAATGTGGAAGGCACCGAGGCACGCAGTGTGCAGCGATACGAGCAAAAATAGACTGCGATGCCCTGCAGCATTCCTGTTTCCATTCATAGTGCGGGACTGTTCGGATGTTGTTACTGCCAGCAAAGCTGATTTACAACACAACCTCATCACCTGGTGAAACGCGACTGCTGCTGATGCCACTGAGAAGCAACATTCAACATCTAAATATTGACTAACAGCCGTATAAATTCACCATACAAGCCACTTGCCCCAGGCTCCAAGACCCGAACTCTCTCAACTGCCCGTCCCCAAATGCCCACCCTGACTTGCCTCGCCACCAGCCACGAAGCAGAGCTTCGAGTGAGACAAGGGCGAAGACCAAAGCGCAGAGCTCGGAATCGAGCAAGCCTGATGATCGTCCATGTACCCAAATAGAAGTATATATTTTGGCCCCAATGTACCCCTTGATTGGAGCCATAGCTCCACTTGCAGCGGGGCTTCTGTATTGCAGGCTTCGGCCTACAAATATGATCGCTGTTCTTTCTTGAGAGCTTGGCGATGCAGCAGAGTTTGCTGATATTGTCCGTAAAGAGTTCGGGCATGAACCGCCTCAAGATCGGGAAACTTGCAGAAATTAGCATATCCAGATCAACTTAGACAAAATGCTGCTCACTTGGGCAACTGACAAAGAAACGAGGCACCGTAACGGGACGGCCACTAGACAATTGAAAGAAAGACGAAACCAGTCTCGATATGCTGCTGAGAAGAGCAGAGAATGCAACATGGTAGCTTGCAGTAGGTCCTAGGTGAGGGATGCGGGACACCACCAACACGACGGCTGTGGATAAACATCATAAAGCGTTTTTCCAGGGTAAACAAAGCACATGCCACAGTTCAGATGTATCGGCTTTTGTTAAGTCGAACGCGCCATAATCATGCCGGGCTGTCACTGAAAATTTGCAGCATGACATTGCTTGGCCATGTTACGACTATGCATAGCAGCAGGCGCATGCACGGCCCATTAACAATGATTGCCTCCAAATTCTCCAAACCAACGAGATGGTAGCCTCGCAAGGGCGCGGGTCTTGCGGGGTTTAGCGGAGGATTCGGGGTCTGGGACTCTGGCTGGGGTTGGTACGAATGATCCTCAGAATGTAGAATCGGGCCAGTAGGCAGATATTGCTGCCATTTCGCTGTGTAGCCTTGTGGTTCTGGGATGTTTCCATGTCGCTTGTCACTGACAGTTGGCACCGTCACCGTGGTTTCTCGCCTCCTACTGTCACCGTTGTTGACTTTCAAGGTTTGGAGTCTCGTTTTTCTGCGAATGCCACATCTGTTGTGGCCGCGGTGCACCACTGCTAAGGACCCCCAAAATCGGAAGACTATCGACTATCGCCCAGTCCTTCTCGGTTCGCAACATGCTAGAATCAATCCTCGGCACCTGTGCGCTGAAGTTCCCGGAGTGCAGGCCGCGGATCACCCGGTGAGACGACAAGGCGGGCAGCACCACGTCGGAGAGCTTGCCTTCCGTGCACAGTCTGGGAGCTCATCGTAGTAAACTGCTGCAAACCTTAGTAACCTTAGTACTACGCGCTGCCAGACATAGGTTCGCAGAAGCTTTCCAGGTCGCAAGAAGCCCCCCAAATCACAAGGGCTTGCAGAAGCCGAATAGTTCAGACTGCTCCGGCAGCAGACACTGTCGACAGATGGATTCTTCATGCTGGCTGAAAGCAATCGAACTCTTCATGTACAGCTGAAATGGGAATTTCTTGGCCTAAACGTCAATGTACTGTGTCTCTCGAAGCCGGCAGAACCAATGCAGAGGTCCTCAAGATGCAAAAGCCTTGAGCAGGGAAGCGGGGGCAAGTATAAAGCCAAAAAGGCACCAACAGCAGCCAACCAAGCTGACTGTGCGATGTTCCTGCCGCTGCCTAGCGAATTAAATTTCATTCTGAGGGTTCTTACTTCACGTATACTTTTGCCGGGACGGATTGGAACACTGAACACAACATTGGCAAGACGAACTGGTGGGCCGGCCTGTCTGCAAGCGAAATGCGAACCACATTCTTCAGGAACTTCTCAGAAGGAAAGCTTGCCTCAGATTCAAAGCGCTCGGCAGCCGTGTTCTGGGCAAAACGGGGAGGCACTGAAAGCGGGCATGGGAGTCCGATGATGTCGAAGCTTGCCGCTGCAAAGCAAAATTTGTGAGCATTCCGAAACGGGTTCTCAGTCATTGGGCGAAGCCCCCTAGCACAAGCCCAGAACAACACAGCACATACCTCGAACCCATGGCAAACACAACAAGTCACAACGAAGGGACGGACCCGAAGCAACATCTGCAAAGGATGAAGTATTTCCTGGACCGTAGCTTTTGCGACCGTGGCTTCTGAAATGCACAGCCGTAGAACACTTTTTGCCGACTGCGGTGATGACTTTGAGGAGGCCAGCAAGACCTGCGAACTCAGGCCGAATCTGCGCATCTATCGGGTAGCAATCTACATTCTTGTCTTGCAGTGTATCTACTCGCCCATCTTTGTGTCTTGTCCTTCCTGCCTACCCATCTAGGCCTTCAGCCAGTTGTTTCGGCATGCAGCAGAGGCACCCCCTTTGGCACTGGTACAGAAACCAATATCCAAGTCTCAACGACAACCTTGCAAACCCACTGGAGCTTCAACTCTGCAAGCGCTTGCGTTCTGAGAATCAAAACATTGAGAAATTACCCGGGGTCCACTCAAAGATGCCAGGAGCACCGCTGCAAGCACATCGGAAGGTGACTGCAGCACCGCCGCCTTCAGCAACTCAAACCTATTGGCTCTGCGTCCGACACCGACAATCAGCCCCAAACATATGAGGAGCACCCGAAGGCTTCTGCCACTGCAACAGCAGCAGCTACGGCCGTAGCTGTAGTAGCAACAAAGCAGCTACAGCAGCAGCACTGTTGGCCCCGCACATATCTACACAACAATGGAAGTGCATGGAAACATGATCTCGGACTGTCCTGGCGCAAGACGGATCCCACGTTGGAGGCGTACTGCGGGCCATCAATGAGAACACCTCAGCACATCGCACAGAAGATGGTGATCATGCCGGGCATGGCATAGCGGCGGTAGAAGCCGTAACACAAATGACGACAGAGATGGAGATGGAGACGACGATGCTGATAGCTTGATGGACTAGCGGCTGGGGAGGCGCTATCGAAGCATCCACTTTTGCTGCCACCAGACACGTCTGTGTGCCCTTCGGTGCGCGCTGAATCTGTGCCAGAAGCTCCTGCTTCAAGGAAACTGTGATGGATTCCGAGACCTGCATGACTGGTTCTGCCTTGTTTGTTGGGAGACCCTGTTAAGCCTGCAGCCAGGCAGCCTGGTGTCTAAAGCTTCGAAGCCGATACCATCCAGAGGAAACGCATTCCAGACCCGAGGACAGCATGAAAACGAAAAGGCTATGCGTACTTAGTGGCATACTTTGGTTGTAAACGGATGGAGAAAACCATCAGGCTGCCACCTTCTGTATGCCCAATGCAGGCCTCCAAGGACCAGCGATGATCCCGACGGAGTTGCGCAAGACGGCTTTCAGCGCAAGTCTGCACCTGGTGGTAGACTGCGTGCTACGTGGTTTCACGAGCCCGGTATCGTTCTAGAATCCTAGACCCCGCCTTTCAGGCTTAGAATGCTTGGCACATACATCTGTCCCACCGAGCACGATCTAGCTCCTGCACAATTCCGGGAACAAGACAACCTGCACGAGTATCACATCTGAGGAAATCCAACGAGGCGCTGAGGCAAAGCACGGATGAAGATGTGGCCAGGCACCTCATTGAAACGCTGTGAATGGCTCCATGTTGCAGGTCGAGTGTTTATGCCTGCGTCTCTAGATGCTTGAGGAACGGTGTGAGTTGCAGGAGCTCTCACAAGAGCCTAGGATGGCAAGGCTCAGCTGCTAATAGAAGATTGCGGATTCTGGCTATGTGGTCCCCAGGTCGTGGTTGTTGTCTGGCAAGAGGCACCACAGGCTCGCAGCATTATGGCGTGAGTGATGCCTGATCCTTTGCTGTTCTAGGCTTTGGGGAATGCCTGCGACCCCGACCTCCGGAAGGAGCTGCGACGCCCAGGTTTCGGCTGACACGGCTACGATCAGAGAGGGTGTCCAGCATTGCTTGCAAGTGCCGGAAGGGTGGGCGATCCCGATCTTGAAAAACGGGGACCTCCCCTCACGTTACACCGAAGGATCTTTCTGGACATGTTGTACATGATCAGGTCCCGAACCATGCAACGCCTTCATGAGTACAGCTTACAAGAAGACAGGGTCCTGATCATTCAAGTCAATTCCAAGCTATACACCCTACATCCCAAACCACCAAAGCCCGAAACCAGACTGCTCCGAGATTCCCGTCAGCAGCGCCCCAACCGTCAGCTTGGCAAGCGCCGCTGAACGGCCGTTGACCATCGCGCTCCGCCCCAAGGAGAGCCCAAAGACTCCAATCTTCTCCTAACTAACATATGGGCCTGAATAATTTGAATAGGGTTTGGGACCCATTCTACTATACAGCTTCTGTAGGTTCTGTTTTAGCTACGGATCTTCATACAGTTCCCTTAACTAACGGCCCCTTGTACATCACCATTCCCTGAATTTCAGGTTTCCTTCTAGTGCCCAAGAACCATAGGGGTCCCACAGGTCGCAAGAGACCCCAAAGTCTCTTCCTAGGATTCCCTGTGAATCTGATTGAGGAGGCCTTTAGGTGGTGTATACACGGGTCCTTATGAGGGCTTCCATGGCCGCTTTTGTTCAGAGACTTGTGCTTCTCCGGATCTCAGATGAAGAACCCTGCCAGCCGCCTTTAGAGCTCCCACAGGTGCCATCCTGAAGGGCTGTTCTTGTTGCTATTTGGGAGTTTCCCAAAACAGGGGACTTTAATATGGTACCCTTTTTAGTAGGATGCTTATTATCAGGGCCCCCAAATAAGGTACCCCTAGTGTTCGGAAACTCCCTTTTTGGTTATTGACATTGATCGTTATGATTACTCTCATGGTTGCTCTTGTCCTCATTCGTGCTATTGGCAGTAGCACTATTACTCTTCGTCTTCGTGTGCTACCATACACCCGGGAGATCAGGGAGAGAGAACATTAGCACTCCTCACACTGGGATCCCTGCCGCATCTCGGGGAAGCACTCCGGAGCCATGCTCTGGAAAACATGGCCCAATGCAACCTGGGCGCGCAATTGATTCTTAAACACACGAACCAGCAAGGCTAGAAAACACAACTCAAACATCTAATACCTTGATCTGTTGCATATATCCACTGAGCCCCCGCTTACACCTGGACCCTAAAACCCAAAACCCTAATACCTTGCCTTCTTATATAGAACCACTGACTTAACTCCGGCATCCTGGAGCGAGGCTACCCTGAGGGCTAGGCCCAGGCCAGGGATCTGCAGCTGGCCTGGCAGGCCTCCGTGTTCGTCGCGGCCTCTTGGCGGCGCTCCGGGGTGTCATTGCTCTGTTTTTTTGGTCGGGTTTTTGGGTCCAGGTTTGAAGGTTTTAGGTGTGCAACACTGTAGCAGCAGCTGTAAGGCTACCTACGTGCAGGTCACTTAACACCTGTTCTTATGGCACTTCGACCAAGTCAATACATATACTCACAACCATCAAACCACCCTCAACTGGAGGCATACGTCCAACTTGCGGCACGACTGAGTCTTGAAGTGACGACATGCTCTCGACCTCATATCCCGGCAACACTATGGCACCTGCAGTCGGTTCCAGTTCTTGCTGGGTGGGGACGATGACTGTGGCGCTCCAAACATGCCTGCATGCCCACGCAGAGTGTTTGGATGGCCGTGACAGAAGATGTAAATTTAGGGGTTGTCTTAGACAGACTTGAGACAGGATTGGGATCCTCTGGTTTCAGAATTTCACAGACCCTTAAGCAGGATAGACGTTTCAAACCACACCACAACAAGCTCGTTGACTCGGGAGTTTGCATGTCCGGCTTACAGCGGTGGTGAGTCTCTGGGGCCTGACAGCTTACCTGCTGAGTCCTCGAGGCTGGTTTCTGACTACACATGCATATCATATGCAGTGTTGGATGTGCCCATGCTTTTCTGACCAGATTTCACGGTGCTTCCAGCTATGAGGGCTGGCTGGAGTGCGGCGTACATGCGATCAGACTATTGCATCCAGTGCTTCGAGAAGTGAGAAGTGGAAAAGCATGGCTGAGAACCAAAATGCACCAGCTAAGTCCTGTGAAGGGATTGAATTACGGTTCATGGCACATGCCTTCAGAGCCGGCAATGAAAGTAAGGTTGCGACCTGCCAGTGTCTCCTCCAAGAAGCCCGCCGCCGGAAACTGGAAAGGCCTCAACTGAGGGACACTGTCAGCGAACGGCGTGCCAAGAAGTTTGGATCTCGTTGGCCTCTGTTCAGTTGCTTGTCGCTGTTCGATTTGTACTGATGTATATTCTGCAGCCGTCGAGCACGCAGGTAGGTCCCTTCTTCATGTGGTACAGACCGAGTCTTGAGACTGCTGGCTTCATCACTGTTGGGCCTTCCGCAGCCATAGCTGGGAAAGGACTGAAGCGATGTTGCCGAGCTACAGTATCATATGTGACCTGCAGTGCACATTTCAAAGTGACGGTACAGAATAAACCGTGCAGCCGAGTCTCATGGCATCTGTGTCTACAACCTGGCAGGGTCAGCTCCAACCACTGATCTCAACTGCACTGTACTCGCTTACGCCTTCGATCCGCTCTCCTTCGCGAAGCATCGGCAAACGCACTAACACACTCCGCCCGAACACGATGAAGCAGCACATCATCTAGGACCTCGGAGGGAGTCTACAGTGCGAAAGACAGGAAAGCAAAAGCCCAGAGGCACCTTGGCATCATAGAGACTGCAGCTTCCAAACTTGCAGCCTCGAGCCAAAGCGGGGATAAACCCTACCACCGGCATTATCATGTTCACATGGTCTCGCATGATGATGCTGGTTCGAGCGCGCGTGTTTGTGTGTGTGTGTGTGTGTGGGTGTGGGGGGCTATACTACTGCTATTACTTGCTGGCTCTCCCTCATACTTCAGACTGCCTTCCAAAGCCTCGATACGGCGGAGCTTCTTCACCCCAAACCACCTACGCCATGATGACAATGCTACGCATACTCACTAATCCTGTCGCAACAGCGAAGTTAGATAATAACAGTAGCCTCAAAGAGTCGCGAGATAGGATCTATTTCTCGTAGTCCCCCGAGAGCTGAAATGTGAACGTTATTGTTGCCTACCTGACATCGATTTAAGGTTGAGGGCATTTCATTGAAGACCAGAGGCTCCAAAACAATGCATTGCAGCAAGTACTCTGGTTACTTTGAACCGAAAGACTCTCACCCCTGAACAATCAACCATCAACAACCTTTTGCGCAGACTTGTATATGGCCGCCTGGATCTGAGAGCCGCTGCACTCGTGGCAGTAACCCTAAACTTCTGAAGATCATAAAGCTAAACCCTATACCGAGATCCTGAACCCAGGATCAAAACCGGCTGCCCTCCTTTCAGGAGCCAGGCAGGTTGCAAAGCCAGACAGGCCAATGGGAGTCTCAGCCTGACATTGGGATCAAGATGGCTCAAGGCTTATCGGGGTTAGGGTCCGTACCAGGACCCTTCAAGGGCCCTTATGGTCCTTAATAGTGGGTATTTGGGGTACATTAGAAGGTAGTCGGGGGGGTCTAAGTAGGGTTTTTGGGGGGTGGTTTTGGGTACGGGTTTAATACAGGTTGCGGGTTCAGGATGATTCTATAGGCTAGGGCTTAGCGTGGAAATCGCAGGTAATTCAGGGATTTAACCCTGCTTCGCAAGATTCTGGATCTACGAGACGCTAGACTGTCAAAGCCCAAATGCGTACTTTTCAAACCGAAAGCCTATAAACCCCGCCCCAAACAGGTAAACTCGGGTCCTTTGTAAGGGTCCTCAATACAGGAACTATCCGAGTTTGGGATGTAGAAAGGCATCAGGGCGAGAACTGAATACAGTACAGTAATCAAAGTTGGTTGGCATAGCTGGGCAGAAACAATCAGAACACGGTCTGGGAGCATGTCTCGCTTGGCTGACTGATGGACAAGAAGGGCCGTGCGTCCTCGCTGGTGAGGATCCTAGATCACATGTTTTGCAGGTTTTCGGGTTCTACTCCAAGCTCACATCGCAGCGGCTTCATAAATCCGTCGCATACCAGCACCGCCGCAGCCACCACCGTCACGACCATCACAACATTAGCACACAATGGCATTAACAGAACAAGACCCACAGAAAAGTCACTATAGTCTACTGGTTGGCGAAAGTACGTCGGCACCTGTCTGAAGAGCGCAGTGCGCATGTGCCCGTAGCAGCAGTGCCACTGAAAGTTCATTCGGCCAGCGAAAACAGGGTTAGACCCTGAACCTGGGTGCAGAAGAACATGCTGAAACTTCACCCTACATGTCATCTTTAGGCCCTGAAAGGAAGATCAGGACAGCCCGTGCCCGCCTGTGGTATGTACACCTCCTGCAGCAAGCAATGTGTTCGGACCGGTTCATCTTATAGAGATTCTGAACATGAAAAAGCTTTCCTTGTAATGGCTGCCGAACATCTATGCTACTATTGTACTGTCGTAATTGATTGTTACTTCTGCAATACACACTACGACTACGACGATGCTGCTACAGAAGATACCTCTTGACAAGCGGGACTGGTCACTTAGGACTTATAGGGCTGATAGAAGGGAGGAACTGACCCAATGCCCGTGTGGCCACGCAAAAGTTCGGCGGCCGTTAGCCGGGGAATCGTTGAAGTATAGCTGTGAAAACAGCCGTGCTCACACGCAGGCTAGAAGGTCACGCACAGATCCAGCCAACCAAGGATGAATAGACGGCAGGCCGTGCAGGTAGGCCAATTCCCGGCAAGAAAAGCACATACGGTGCATAGCGCCGAGTCTCAACTCAAGCCGAATGCGTCCGAGTGTGGGCACCAAAGGCAATACACAGACCCCGACTGCAGCTGCCCTGAATTTTTTGAGTGAACCCAGGCCTGCAAGATGGCTAGAGATGGCTAGAGGTGGGTTGCGTAGATACGGAGATACGCCAGTTATAGGATACCCATAGAACACGAACGGACATGTTAAATCCACTGGTTCTTCCAACAGCCTCTGGATGATTCACTTCATCGGTTTCCGGTTACGATTTAGGACCGAAGTAGGCTTATGATCACTCGTTTTTGCTAGATTCGGTTAGATTGCCGGAAGTTACTGTAATTGTTAATGCATAGATGTAGCTTGGGGCATTCTCAGGTCAATTAGGCAGTACAGAAAGCTGAAACAAGCCGCGCCTCCTGATGCCCGATGAAGGACAGGGTCGGGGCTTTGCGACTCTTCTCCATGCATGCACTTGGCCACAGGTTGGGGCTGAACCAGTTAGTCGAGTGTGGAATCTAGCTGCTAGCTTGTCAAAGCATGGGAGAGGCAAGGAGAAAGTGGGGTTCCTCTTAGCACATAGGACTTTATGGCTCGTGCGTCTTGCTTGTGAGACCTTCGGCCGGCGAGTGGATCAAGTTGGGCACACAAAGACTTCAACCTCCGAACTTTGAGCTGCCATCGGTTGTTGTCTTAAAGAACTGGCCATAAGTTGGCTTCGAAGTTGTGGACGACGTGGAAGTGCTTACAAAAGGCCTGTGGTGATGTAAGCTGGGCCCGCTTGCTGCTTGGACCATACAACTATCATACAACATTACATAGGCACCTCCCCCCTGTGACACCGGTGAAAACAGTTGACGACTATACAGCTCATAGCAATCCCTGTCAAGCATGTCCCTGTCTTCCTTCGGGCAGTCAGAAAGGAGCAGGGGCGAGGATTCCGAGGCGAGGATTCCGAAAGCCCTAAAGTCTAAACTCTAACTCTAAACCCTAAGCCCTAACAGAACAGTAAGGATCATGAAGACTCACGGGGTCAAGCCCGAGAGTCCACAGAATACCCTCACCAGTTCCTTTTATGTTTGAATGTAAACAAGAGTCATACGTCCCCTTGGTTCAATGATGACAGGCCAAACAGAACACACTCGAACACACCCCAAAGTGTACAAACGCTCCTAGAAGCCAATATGCTGATCCTTGCGAGTCTCAAGGAAAGTATTCAGGGCATTGCCAGTTGCGAGAGGCAAGTGGACGACCTTCACATCTCGAGGGGCTTTCGGTGAGATGTGGACGGTGGCCTGCGCGGGGCTTAAGGCCCGGGATGCGAACCCATAACAAAAACCCTTCCAACCCTGCATAAAAACACAATGATCTACAAACCAAAAAGCCTAGCTCGTCAAACCTGAGTACTTCCGGGACTGGGACGAGTGTGTATAACTTCGTGGAACAACACCATTGTGTTTCAGGGCTGGGGGGGTGGGACTTTCTAAGTCTTTGCTCTCTTCAACCATCTTTCCGCAACCCCTTTACATCTAGAGCAACATGATAAGCTCCAGCTTCCGGTCTAGGTGCACAACTGCTTCATGTGGGAGTTTCCGAAAATAGGGGACCCTAAAATAAGGTACCCTAATTTTCGGAAATTCCTATGTGGCCACAGGGCTCAATGTGTTGAATCTTTACCCATGTATCTGAATCTGTCTTGGGGCTTTCTGGAATGCAGGGAGACGCAACATGCACATGATGTCGGCTCTGCCGACAAAGTTATCAAACTATGAAGGACTCCTGAGGGATTTCGTTCGAAACCGGAGGGTTCAGCAGTCTGGTCGGAGGTTGACATGCAACTATTCGTACATTAGCGTTTGTGGTGCATGGTTCTAGGCCAGACATAAACTCTGCCCCCGAGGTCGCGGCGACCAGAAACAAGTCGCGGTTGTTGGCGCGCCTGAGTTGGGTCTGTGACTTTCAGGCTCACGAACATGCAACTCGAAGGTCCAAGATTCGAAGGTTGGGATTTGATTAAGGTTTACTTGATCGGGCTGAGCATGGGGATCAGGCTTTAACTTGATGTGCAAGCCACTGCTGTGTCAGTTCATTGTCGAAAGTTCAGGTGGCCAGCATGGGGGCGACAAGAAATGAGGAAATTTTGGGATTGACAGTATTGCAGTATTGCATGCATACAATGCTAGCACTACCATGCCAGTCGTCCCCTCAAGTCTTCCTTTGCTTCGCAGCACCACGCTCCACCTGCTACTCGGTCATAAGACGCACCAAGGTCGACGCACGTGCGCGCACGTGTAAGGAAGTCGATCTTCGAGCTCCGACTTTTCCTCGAAGTTGGCGCGGTAGATACCTTAGCCAAAAAAGAACGAAAGGTCGAATCTTCCAAGTCCTATGGTCAAGGACTGGCCGCGACTGGCTACGGTACTCATAGCAGGGTCGATTGGTGACATTGCTGCAAGGGATTGCTTCTCAGCTTTTCCGATGCTATACTTGACGCAGCAGCAATTGCCTACACTCCCATAACTTCTAGTCCACTCTCTGCGGATTCTACTCGCCCTTTTTGCCGCAAGCCTTCTCAACTTGACATTTATGTCAAAACAATCTAGTAAACAAGAAAGCCTCAGCTTTGGAGGATTACATCCAAAAGCACATGCCAAGTGTCAGTCGGTCAGTCAGTAAGTCAGTCAGTCAGCCTGTCTGTCTGTCATTACAAGACATTACGTTGCAGCACCGTACATTGCATTACATTACACCACATACTTGAGTGCATTGCCTGTACATAAAACAGACATGTTTAGGCACGTACTTGCATCCAACCACACGCGCATGCACATGGATCCAGCACGCATATAAGTGCCCCGCGCCAGCCCAGCATCACCTCAACAAAGGTTGTGGATCCAAGTCGAGTGCTTCAGCAATACCCAAGGAGTGGTGGGTCTCGGTAAAACTTGGGGCATCTTGGGGCTTAGGGTAGCTTCGTGCCTGGAGAGACCTCAGAGTTTCTGTGGTCATCGGCCTGTGGCTCTCCTTGGGGAGTGTACTCGAAGAGCCCATTGCCTTCAAAAGCCTGTGGGTCATGGGGCGACAGGGGATGAGAGGCCGTGGCCGTTCGAGAAGGGCAGGGGGAAGGCAGGGGGAACGGTAGTATAGCTTTTTAACACACAAGCATAGGAAATTTATGGGTCAATCGTGTACTTAGTGAACTCAGCGCTAGGGGTCGGTGAAGGTGTTCGGTGTTCAGTTTGCGCAGTTGCAGAACCAGCACTCGCAAGTCTCAAGCATGTCGCTTCACTATAACGGAGACAAGTCTATGGATAAGAATGCGTGACGTGATGTAGGGAGTGTAGGGTGTTGGGTTCACAGGGTGGAAGCTGCGCAGGGCATTTCCTTCACTGCTGCGCACGGCATTTCGTTCACTCATGTCAGTTCCTGAGCCCCTCTCAAACTCCTCAGATGATGCGCCGAAGACTGCGCAAGCCGTTTCATCCACGTTGATGACCATGAGTCCACACGTTGAGAAACGGTTTCTATTTAGTCAGAGTAGTCTCGTCCATCATGGGCCTTAATATCTAAGCTTTCGGGGCTCTGGCCTCGCAACATCAAACAACCAGAGTATGTAATTAATTTCCTTCAGCCCTTCAGAACCTAATATCTTCACATAAGCAGGGGGGAAACAATCCAAGCTGAGCAACAGTGCAAGAGGAGTGCCGACAAACACAACACAACCGAACAAATACAAGAGCAAAGGGAACAACACCAGCAGCGCCACACTCAGCATGTGCGGCAGCAAGAAGAACAACCAGCATCAGCATCTACGTCAGCATCAGCATCTGCACCAGCGGCAGCAGCAGCAGCAGCACCAGCATCCGCACCAAGCCAAACTGAGAACAAGTGAGTGGGAAAACCAGCGCCAGCGCCACCACCAACAACAACCACCACGACAGCGGCAAAATCAACGAGCACATCCGACGCAGACTGCGACTGAGATGACACTAAAGCGAGCATGAATTTGATGTTGATTAGTTTGAACAGTTGTCTCTTGTTCTGAGCATGATAGTGCATGGGTGCTGTAATATCCCTGTCTGGGTAGTAACCCAGGGTTAGCCGAGGCGTTGGCAGCGGCCAGGACACCCACGAAAATGTAGAACTGAAGGTCAGTGTACTCTGTGAAGAGCAGGACCTTCAAAGCAGAGTGAAGATGTTCAGGTCCGGAAAAACACTTGTCTCCAACAACTTGTTGAAGAAAAGTAAGTGATAAGTTGTTGCATTTGTTCCCTTCGAACGAAGGGAATGTCAAACGGGGTCCTTGAAGAGTGAGGTCTGATTTTCAGCCAGCTGTGCAAGAAAACTCCCAAATGTCGATGCTGCAGAAAGACGCATGCAAAGAACACAAAGCTCACGTATGCTCGAACACATGCCAGGTTTCCAGCGTGATAACGTAAGAACCAACATGATTATTTGCAGCAGCGACATAATATGCCAAGCCAACACCTATATGGTCTCGGAAAGCGAAAGCAACCAGTTGTTAGCGCTGAGGACACGGATTCTGTCGTGGTGGCGGACAGCGGTCTGTTGCAAAGTCCCCGGCCCACCAAAACACCACGGAAGCAATCACGTCGATGACGAACTGCATGGCCCTGAGTGCACCGGAAGGATGGCTTCATCAAAATCTCTAGTCAGAGGCGGAACTGATCGTCTTTCTGCCGCCTTCAAACAGGAACTGTCTCGAAGAATCCCTGTCGCAAGGTTGTGATTGTAGCAGCTGTTCCGTACACGACGTGATGGCTCAGTCTGTGTGAATAAAGCTACGCGTCGCTGCAGCATGTGCAGGTAACACAACTGAGAACTTTGCTATGGTACCACTGCGTTCTGCCACAACATCATGCCATGGAAAATGAAGCGCATACTTGCAGCAGCTCAATTCCAAAAGAATCAAGCCACGAAGAAGCCCCACGCATACCGGCATACCCCAGCCGAAAGAGTCGCGAAGTCCACTTGGAGGTTCAGGGGTTGTTATAAGTATTGTGGGTAACTATACTTATAGCCCGTATCAGGAGACTTATAGCCCTACCGAGAACTACCCATGAACCTCCAAGCAAACCTGAACAAGCTTTTCTCGTGTATCGCACGCATCGCAGGCAGGAGTTTCTACTCTCCAAACCTCCGAGCCTTGTGCTCAGGTGGCCTTGGATGATTCGTATGAAAGAACAACACACACTCTCGCTCACACTCTCTATCTATCTATCTATCTACCTACCTATCTATCTATCTATCCATCTGTGTATCCACCTACCTGTCTTTATGCCTACCAACTGTCTCACCAATATCTATCTACCTGTCTACAGGATGTGCGCTCCCACTCAATGAGCGACCGGACAGAGAAGGCTCACCTCCACACCCAGCCGTTCCAGGAGCATGCATGCTGTGGTCCGAGTCAGTAAGTCGAAGGTCTTCCACTCCTGGCGATCGCCGAGCCGGGAAGCTGCCCTTGTTAGCATAGCTTGGGTACGGCCCCCACTCAGTAATAGTGGAATAATATTCGTACTATAGACTACTATAGATATATTAGGACCTTAATAGTAGACCGATACATGGCTCTTACTGCAGGGGGGGCAGTACCTAAAGCATAGCTTCGCACAGCATCTTCTGTTCTGTGGTATCTTTCTACAAGGTTCAAGGCTATCTCCGAGCTCTTCGACACCAAGGCCGCTAATCCGAGAGAAATCTACAGAGCATTGCAACACACAATGGACATCAGATGCGCGCCTTGCGAATGGACTGAGCGAGACCAGCCTGAGGAACGAGTAAAACCGCTGCAACGCTTAACTTATGGGATTCAGCATGATTCAGCACTCGGCGTTCTCGGTTTAGGGCGTAAGGTGCCTCGTTGAGCCCACAACGACGAGTGACCCCGATCGTTTCTAAGTGACATAAGTTACGGGATACTGTTTTTGTCTATGCCAACAACATCAGGGCAGCAACAACACCACCACCACCACCACCACCACCACCACCACCACCACCACCACCACCACCACCACCACCACCACCACCACCACCACCACCACCACCACCACCACCACCACCACCACCACCAAGAATACTAATAATAGTAATGATAATAACAAGCACAATAACCAGAACAGCAACGGCAACAGCAACAACAACAACATCAACATCCGCAGCAGTAGCAACAACCAAAACCAACGACGCTAACACCGACGACGAAATCCACTGCAAAACCTTCAACACACCGAACACCATCATAGTTGTCACAGTTATCTTATGCGCAAGCACCCACGGCATCATGCATCACCACTGGCATCGTCAGAAAAACGCGAGCACTAGTAGTAGTGCAGGTAGAAGCCTGCGCAACTTCCACCCTCATGCCACGCAGACCCCAACATGAAACACGGAGTGGATCGAAAGCACTTGCCTCGCGCATCGCTTTCAGGTTCGCTGGATTGTCCTGTCTACTGCCAGCATAACGTGGCTTGCAGGGTTCAGGCTTCTGCAATCCATCCAATGGCACTCCACTTACCAACAGCGGTGCCAAAAATTTCGCTCTTCTGCATCCAACCGAGACTTACCAAGATTGGTCTAAATTAAACACAGATTGAGACTCCTTGCCCATCGCGAGCAGGGCGCCGAAGCAGTTCCTGGCTTCCAGAAGCATGTTCTGAACGCTGTCTAAACAGAGGGTACGGGCTGGGGCTGTGCAGCGAGGCTTTACTCAGGGGTCAGCAAAACGATACCCTCGGCTGAAGAGTTTTAGCAACTATATACCATAGGCCCAACAGACAGCGTGCACTGGCATTTCTGCCTGCCTCTGCCTGCTGCCTCTGCTGTGCCTGTCTGACTCTGCTCTGCCTGCCCGGCCTGCCTGTGTCTCTGTCTGGGGGAACCTGTCTACCTGCTGGCTGCATCCGTGCCGTTGGAGATCGCAGGAGTCTCTCGTCTTGGTCTCCGTCGCTCACACTCGAGAGAGATTGTGGCATGCAGTGAAACATGAACGCCACAAGGAAATCGATACAGAATCCGACTGTCCAGGCGTCCTATGGTCATATACTCACACATAAGGGGGTTGAGGGTGCACAGACATTCATGCCCTGGTTGAAAGTCCATAGTTTACATCTGTTTCGCTTTACAAGAGCCCAAGATTGCGTGGAAGCTACGAGATGTCGAACCCTGTCTAGGTAGTCACGACAAAGGATCTGGGATAAGTGCTTGTCCAAAGCCTGTATTGCAAAACGGGCACCCCTGTATTGACTGCCCTGCATGCAATCTAAACTTTGGGCCCTCGTGGCTGCCCCAGTGTCCTTTTCGCAGGGTAGGCCAGGTCCAAGTTGAAGTTGAAGGAGTCGTGGTCAAACTGCTCCAACTCAGCAACTGACATGGCAGTGGCCAGAAGTGCCTGCTGCTGGACGGGAGTAATATCGGGGCCTCGATGATTAGAGCAGGGTAGACTGTGCTCGCGAACTATAAGAAAGGACCCTGCGACTACTGTTGATGATATAAATCCTACATTATCTTAAGGGCCCTAAACTATGGAAACTATGGTATACTCCTTATCATGGGTAATGCAGGATTTATATCATCAACCGTAGTTCCTGGGAATCGGGGGCAGATCCTCAGGAGAGCTAAGGAGGCAGTATTGACCTGGAGCTAAGCATGTACCCGGAGCTTAGCATGTAGGGCTCCAGGTGCTTTGCACTCACTGCCGGTGAGAATATGCACGCTGTTAGTCAACTGTTAGTCTCACTCAAGCTAGACAATGTCGGCTCATCGTATAGCTGACAGTTCGACAGCTACAACCAGCATTGGGAATCCCCATGGAATGCGATTGCCACCGTCTCTTCAAGATGCGCCCTGGCCTCCAACATTTTGTCCTTCGTTGCCCGCTCCTGGATACTGGCATTGAAAGGGATGATGCGAAGTGACGAAACGGGATCTCCCATTGGTATGTCGGTACCGATGACATATAGTGTGGCCTCACAGACGAGACTGATGGCTCCCTGGTCTGTAGGATTATCGTAGAGCACGTCTGGCAAGGCCTCAAAGATACCCAACTCCGACCATCTGCTGCGGTAGAAATCGGACTCGAATGCCATGGCCTTCACCGCCTGGAGGGTCTCTTCGGCGATCTTTGTCTCGTTTCCATGCTCCTTCATCAGTTGCACTCCCAATGAGGGGAAGCCTTCTTGGTAGGCGATATCTCCATTGGTCCATGTGCCTGAAGACAATGCATACAAAGACTGCTTGACGGGCTCGTTTGCCCAGTCACTGTACTGACCGTGAAAGTTGTTCCGGATATTCTGGATGAACATCTCCACACCTCCAAGCTCTCGAGCGATGGCCCTGTTCTCGTTGACGAAGTCGAAGTATGCACCAATAGCGCCCCCCAGGTCCATGACCAGCACGCTATCCAGGTGGGAGCCATAATAGTTCAAGGTCACATTCCTAGCTTCATGCTTGGGGTAGGATTAAAAATCTACATGTTTATTCCTTATTGGGCTTCAGTACCCATAAAAATTTAAAGTGTTACCCAACTATGACAAAGATTCAATCCCCCGAGTTTGCCGGCATGCAGACCGTTCTCGCGATTGAACAGGATCAGCGGAGCCATGGCCATCGTGCAAGCAATTACTACCGTCTCAGTCACCGGAAACTCGTTCAAAGCAGCTGCAACAAAGTCGATGGCTCCAGCCTACGTGGCACATCGAATTAGTGACATAAAGCCGAGCATAGGTCTGCCTACGAAAAAACAGGTTTCCCTCTGTCCATAAACCTAGAATATTTTCCAGTGTGCCTTCGCCCAGGCATTCTGTGTAGCCACCGTGGTGCTATCCACGCACAGAGGGAGCTGGGCACACATTTCCACAACCTCAACCTCAGTGAGGTTGTGCACACTTGGCATCAGTGAGGCGAGAAGGCCGGCCGCTTCATCGGGAGTTGGGCACCCTTTCTTGGAGCTCTGTATCTGCTCCCTTGCCCCCGACTCCAAAGCTATCTGCAGAAAAGAAAGTGTCTGCGGACATTCTTCTCCCGAATCGCAAGCGCTGGCGATGTAGATGGAGGCAAAGGCCAGCAAGGCCATCTTGACGGCAAAGCGGGCCATCGTTTGCACAACGGTTCGGAACCGAGCCTGCCCTCTCTAAGGTCTCGAGAAGACTATGGCTGCATTCCGTCTCTTTGTAAGGATCTAGGTCCAGTCTGAGAGGAAGGAGACTCACAGAGGGGCATCGAATGCTTGACCTGCAAGGCTATGCTGCCACGCCAGTAAAGCGGACCTTCAAAATTGAAAGTATCAGCTGATGGATTCACAAGGCATCTCGTGACGGGGACCCTGCCAGTTCCGAGCGCCACTGTCAACACAGCCCTGCAGGCAACATGTCGCTGCGATCTCCATTCTCTCCCCCGAATCCCGGATATCATTCAGCCGATGCCGCTGGGTACGCATGTGGTGCAAAGGTTGTATGTTGAGGAAGTACTTTTCATTACTCCTGCATCGCTCATGGAGCCGCAGACCCTGATTCCCTGTGCCAGGTGGGGGCATCAGTGAAGAATCAGCCGAGAGGCTGTGTCGCTGTCGGAGCTACCTTAGTCCGGTTTTATAGGATCCAGACACGGAAGCAGTTGCTGCTCCAAGAGCAATTGATGAGTCTTTTTTCCCAAACTCTTTCCAAGTGGGAGTTCCCGCCAATAGGGGACCCTGATATAGTACTCTAAATAGTAGGATCCTTGTTATAAGGACCCCAAGACAAGGTGCCCCTAATTTGCGGAAACCAAAAACCATCATAAAGCCCTTTAAAGGAACCCTTGTAGTGCCCTTATAGTAACCCCTTAAAGGAACCCTAAGGTACCACTAATCTTCCCAAACTCGCTCCAAGTCTTTTTCAGGATGCAAAAACACCGGGGGGACCACGGCTCAACTCTTGCGTGGTTCCCGGAAAAGGAGGGGGGTGGTTTTCGTTTAGGGTTTCGGGGTTATAGGGGGAGGCATATGGTTCGAGGTCTGACAAGTGAGACGGCGAAGGTTTAGGGGTTTAGGGTTTCGTTGTTCGCCCGCACCCTTCTCCCATACTCGACATATGCACGGGCGTGCAAGCAAGCAATGGTCTTTCCATGCTGCGCCTAGAAGCACAGAAAACTGACTTGATGTTACACATCAAAAGCATCCCTCGAAGACATGGGCCGTATCTCGACCGCATGTGAGCTAGTTGAAAGTCGCAAGAGTCACATCCTATCACCTCCAGCACTCCCGAAAGCTATTCAATACTTGAAACCTTGACTTGTTGCATTCTGCCCGGCATCTCGACTGTCAAAAAAGAACCAATTTCCGACAGGCTGGGACTGTGACTCTCGCCACTGTTCTTTCCAGGGTCCTCGCTGCAATCGGTACATCCCAAAACCCAAGCCTAGATATAGCAACGATTCTGGAAACGTGCACAGTCATATGGAACGTTGTTCCGAACGAGTTTACCTTGAGTCTTTGAAGTTACTGATCTCGGAGATCCGAATTAGCAGATCTTTCCGCTGGCATGCCGTTGCCCCGGCGAGGAACTG